CTATAACAAACGCTATAATTCACAACGAACGTCTCACGTGCTCGACTCAACTGTCAATTACTCATTACCTCCTTGCCGTCAATTCTTACCGGTTTATATATACAAGACTACCACATATCTAGTAGGCTCTCGAGATTTCAGAAAGGGACGTGAACGTTCGAGAAGATGACGTGTTACTAGCGTCACGTGACCTCCGCTGTCGTAACAATATTATTATCTTATCCTCCCCTTCTTCAGAAAACTTGCAACACTAGGTATATTATTATTATCTTATCCTTCCATTCTTCAGAAAACTTGCAACACTAGGTATTATATTATTATCTTATCCTTCCATTCTTCAGAAAACTTGCAACACTAGGTATTATATTATTATCTTATTCTTCCATTCTTCAGAAAACTTGCAACACTAGGTATTATATTATTATCTTATCCTTCCATTCTTCAGAAAACTTTCAACAGTTAAATAGGATAGTGTTTGTTCCCCCACTAACAGTTTAATATGTATTTTGATATACATAAATTTTGTCTACAATTAACTGCTCAGAAGATGCAGAGTGTGACAGAGAAGCATACATTTGTCTATTGTATATGTATATATATATATATATATATATATACACACACACAACAAAATATTACAAAAAGAAACCCCGTTTTAAGCTCCAGGGTGACGTTAGCACAATTTTAGAAGTGTTAATACAAAGTTTGTCCTCACGGAGGTCTATTGTCTTCAACAGAGAATACAAATATGAATCAGAATCCTCCATCTAATCATATTTAAATTAAAACTAATCCCTCATAATCCATTGCTTTATACTGTTAAGGTAAATACTTTAACGGTTATGTTTACTGAGCTATTGTGACAGCTACATGTGAAGAATGAACTTGAAATGGTTCATAGTGAAACTATACTGAAAGAACCATGAGACTTTGTTGTCGCTGTATACAAAATGATATAATAAGCAAGCATTATAAGCATTAGATTCCCTAGGGTCCTGAGCTTTATTGTGACTTTAATTTACGTATTTGAGTTGTAAAATTGAAAAGTTGATTAATGAGTCAGCTATGATTTGCTATATAATTATTTCCATATGTATTTTATGCGAAGTAGTGAGATGAGGAGCTGTTAAAAGAATTAAAGTGATTTAACTGCAAGACTATTAAGTTCATTCTTGTTGCATGTAATTGTATAAATATTATTGGAAGAACAAACATGGCTTCCATACATTCCAATAAACCCTATTCTACGCTTCCTACAACATATTCCCATTAATAACGACGTTGTTTAATGTATTAGTTTAAAACTGTGCTGATGTAGCTACGGTACTATTTCACAGTTAAGTTACAAATTGTAATTATTTATCATAATATGTATATTTTATTATGTAATTTTTTCGAAAAAATAAAATATGTGTTTGTTTGTTTTGAATTTCGCGCAAAGTTACACGTGGGCTATCTGAGCTAGCCGTCTCTAATTTAGCAGTGTAAGACTAGAGGGAAGGCAGCTAGTCATCAACACCCACCGCCAACGCTTAAACTACTCTTTTATCAACGAATAGTGAGATTGTCCACCACATTATTACGCCCCAAGCTGAAAGGGCGAGCACGTTTGGTGTGACGGGGATTCGAAGAAAGTATGAGACTGAGCGAGGTTTAAACTTGCACTTCTGTTCATAATCTCAGTCTTTATCTACTGATTAATGAATGGCAGAACTAATATTCGATCCAGATAATTTAGTTGTTTAGAACCCTTACCTATCATGCAGGTCAATGTTCGAATCCCGCTTGGCCTTAGCCTTCTCACGTCAGAAAACATAAATAGGATAGTGTTTGTTCCACCACTGACATTTCAAATGTGCATGGTTTGTCAAATTTCAAATCCCAAGTAAGTTGTATTCTTGATCGTATCAATACATCTGTTGACATAGTATATCCTGCACAATACAAGACATTTAGACTAAGCATTATACTCATTTCAATAACAGCCCGTCCTCTTGTGGCTCAACGATAATTCTAAAGGCTTACTTATAACGTCAAAAATCGGGTTTTAATACCTGCAGTTGACACAGTACAGATAGCCTATTGTGTAGCTTTGTGCTTAACAACAAATATGGATCAGAATCCTCCGCCTAACTTTCTTTAAATTAAAAGTAATCCCTCATAATCCATTGCTTTATACTGTTAAGGTAAATACTTTAACTGAGCTATTGTGACACCTACATGTGTCGAATGAAAAACAAAAAGTTCATATTGAAACTATACTGAACATTCACGTGTAGCTTTGTGTTTAACAACAAACAAACGGTAATAGCTCAAAGTTAGTCATACCGTAGCTGTGTTTGTAGCAACAGCTGTGAATACTGGATCACTAAGTAATAAAGTTGTCAAACAAAGTTCAGCAGTGTTTCGCGATTGAACACCTGGAAAATTGATAATGGCAACATTTTCTAAGCGAAACAGTTGACCACACTGTATAACTAAGCTGGTTTGTTTGTACTTAAGCACAAAGCTACACAATGGGCTATCTGTGCTCTGCCCATCACGGGTATCGAAACCCGGATTCTAGCGTTGTAAGTCCGCAGACATACCGCTGTGCCACTGGGGGGCGATATAACTAAGCATCTAAACTATCGTGTTGTATCTTGTTGTTGTTTGAAGTTAGGCACAAAGTTACACAATGGGCTATCTGTGCTCTGCCCACCACTCGTATCGAAACCCGGTTTCTAGCGTTGTAAGTCCGCAGACATACCGCTGTGCCACTGGGGGGCCGTGTTGTATTTTAAAATGATCATACTGTAAACACTATTCAAAAAAAGCACAAAGCTACACAATGGGCTATCTGTGCTCTGCCCACCACGAGTATCGAAACCCGGATTCTAGCGTTGTAAGTCCGCAGACATACCGTTGTGCCACTGGGGGCGATATAGCTAAGCATCTAAACTATCGTGTTGTATCTTGTTGTTGTTGTTTGAAGTTAATCACAAAGTTACACAATGGGCTATCTGTGCTCTGCTCACCACAGGTATCGAAATCCGGATTCTAGCGTTGTAAGTCCGCAGGTGAATAAACAAGAAATCAACGAAACTGATAAGAACAGAACTGTTTTCTGGTTTAGATGAGAAAGTTTTGGCGGTTCTAAAAATGTTCTTACCTAGGACAGAATAAAATAATAGATACAATAGGATAGAATAATAATGATAACCAGAAGTACTGGGTATTTTGTTATTTTCGTGTTTTTTGTTTAGTACTTTTATAAACTATAAACCTATGCATGCAATAAAAAAAAGACCCTTAAGAGAATTAAACACAAATGTCTTGTGCTTGAAATTAGGCAGTGTTATTACGTTTTCTTCTTATGCTATTCAATATGTAATGTTTCAGTATCTGTGCCAATAAGAGTGACTGGAGGTGCTCTTACTTTTGAGAAATATTTCTAAGTTCATTAGAAACGTTTCAACCTATATGAAAATAACTCCCCAAATGAGACCTTATTCGTCCTTCCACCAATATAGCTAATACAAGTCAATCAAGCAGACGTCCAGGGTTACATTTGTTATCACTCCAGTGAAAGGCAAGGAGGAAATACTTTGATATGTCCAAAGACTAAAAACAGGATATAAGAACCACTGGTATGGCTATCCTTGGCGTGTGGGTGTAATCAAATTACTTTTTGGGAATTTAAATAACAATTATCTGCTTTTTTTTTAAGAACGCTAGTCAAATTTTAATGTATGATAATTGCTAGAGTGAATGTTCAGTAGTATATCGAATGTACTACTTTTTGCGATATAAGAAATATTTTGGAATTTATTACTAATAAATCAGTTACTTGTAGATTAAGATCATTCCGAACCGATGGTACACTAACTTATGGAGGTACATCGTCTATTCTCGCTGTACAATATTTTTCGATGCACGCGTTCATTCTCTCGTTGTTATTATTTTTTACATTGTTGCCTTTATTCGTGTTGCTTTGCGTTTAGTTTTCACTATAATTTATTGTTTTTTGTTATTTTTTTACTTCTCCCAACTTTACCCAACAATTTATTAATTCTATTACTATAGTGTGTGTTTGTGTTATTTTTATTTCTTTATCTTTCCGAGCCTTTGAACAACGCGTTCTTTGTTCTTTTATCTTAACTCTTCTGTAAGCAGTTTTCTCCTCACCGAGAACCAGATGAAGGGTTGTTGCCCGAATTGTTGTTTTCGTTAATAGTTATTTTAAGTTGACTGTTCCTGTTTTTAAGCGCAAAGCGGCACTATGGGATATCTGTGTTTTGCCCACCACGGGTATCGAAACCAAATTTTTAGCGTCGTAAGTTTGATGACTTACCACTCATCCACTGGGTGGCATTTAAAATTCGATAGTATTTAACATTTTTTATTTTATTTTTAATCCTACGTCGAATCAGCGCTACATTTATAGCATGGAATCTCACGAAAAGTATTTTATACATAAAGCCACTTGTGCGGTCTGAGTGAAAAACAAACAAAAAAACACGTACATCAAGTTACGACAATCACATTCATTCATCTGCTTTAGAATATATGAATTTGTTATAGAGAAAAAAAACTAATAAAAAGCAAACCTACCTTTCAAACACGAATGATCTTGAAGAAATTTAGCTCGACGGTTTCGAAGGCTACGGATAATGTCGATTTCTTTTGGTGCTTCTATAGCAGAAAAGATTGAGGCACCAATGACCAAAAACAATAAGTAAAAAGCAGTCAACACGATCAAACGTGTATTACTTTTGCTGATAAACATTTTTTAAATTATCCTAAGAGTATAAAAATTCTGAATTTTGACTCAAACTCGTCAATTCTTTTGCTTTTTGCTGCAGTGTTAAATACGCTAGCAATACCGTACAAAGCACAAGAAACGTGTAATGCTCTCGACCATGTGATTATCAAATATATATAGAATACCGAGTATATGTAACCTTCTAACCACGAAACGGCTGATGGCGTCAGGTCTGCTCACAACCATATCTCCATAGTAACAGCTTGCTGAAATAACCAGCTCTGTCGGTATAGTGAATTACTGTTTATGTGTGTTAAAGTAGTCATTCTTTATACTCTTCTACCTTATAGTGCCAACTTCTTAAAAACAAAATACTTAGATATGTACATCAATATTTAACTGCATTGAACACTCACTAAACCTGACTAAAGACGCGTTTACTTCCTGTTGCTGGTAGTGGTAGTATTATACAGCCAAGGAAAATGGCTGACATCCGTATTATCGATTTGTGAAAGTCACGTGGTAATCACGTATAGGTGAATATCATATATGAGGAAGACAAAGGAATAGCGAATAGCACCCTGCATAAGAAGCGTACCGAGAAGGGCTTTAAGTTACTCGAATGACTCATCATACAGGTATCATTGTGTCTGTGAAAAGAAGCGAGGTGAGAATTCACGGAACTACGAAACAACCTAGTTAAAAAAAATATGTAAAATATATATAACTACACATTTAAAACAAAGTTTTGACAAGAGTGATGTGGATGGACTAGCTATGTAATAAACACACAAATACGGGGCCGTAACTAGTTCTATTATCAGTTGTTTTTCGTCTACTTTTACTCAATCACACATACGTGTATACACTTGGAAATTATAGCTTGAAACCTCAGTTTGAACTTGGTAGAATATTGGGCCTGGTTACGGTGATGAACCCACAGAAATTTGTATATAATTTTAAATGTTTATTTTACCAATCGTCTATGTTTGTACAAGTGTGCTCGGAAGATTCTATGAACCTAAAGTTCGTGTTAATGTAGCCGTGTTTGTTGTAATCCAGCCCTCTATGGACTGAGCGAAACGCGTCGTCGGCAATGGATATGGCAAATATAGTGTGGTTGGAATACTATTATCATACACACTTCTAATTTTTGAAAATCCCTGAGGAATTAGATAAAGAATGTAGTATTTTAAAATATATTAGGCTTAACACTAATGACTTATGACAAGTATGACTGCAATCAGTCTTCGCCAGTTTGTAAAAAACGTACAAACCACAATGTTACGTCTGTGTTGGTTTGTTAATTTTTCGTAGAAATTCTTTCCGAGAAACTTCAGCGATACAAGCCTGTTCTTAAATAAAACTAGTTTATTCTTTCTCAAATACACTTTGCAATACACTTAATTTCCACAGTCATGTTAACTTAAACACACGCTATAATTCACAACGATTCACGACTTTACTTACGGCTTGACTCGATTATCTGTCTCTATCTCCCTGTTTGCTATTCAATTATCCATCTATATCTATGCCGTCACTTCTCGCCGGTCTTATATATACAAAATACAAGGCGTATCTAGCAAACGCTAGGACGTTAGACAGGTTCCTCGATCTTTCAAGAACTCCAGCGCATGCTCCTAGCATCTCGCGACTTCTGCTGTGGTAACACTGCCCCTTCCTTAGTATTGTTCGTCCCGAACAATAGCCACTTAAGTTAAACCAATAGATAGTTAACAATAACTTAATTAAATGTACAGAATTTACAAATACAAAATTAAAATTCAACAAAGTCTCTTAATTTTACGGGACGTGTCTTCTTCCATACTGGTCTCTGTCTCGTTGGCTTCTGCTTCACATAAAGTTCATCTGCTCTATCAGGAAATGTCCTGTTATTGGTAATAGTTACATCAGTGGTAGTAACTTCATCAAGGGCTTCACTGTTTCCCTTCTCAAAACCGAGTAGAGTTTCTTCTTTGACAGTGGCTTTTCCAGGTGACACATCTTCAGTGGCGTATTCTGTTCCGTTGCTCACTTCATCCCAACTGAAATGTCAAAGCCTGTTGGCATGCACCACCTTTGGCTTACCTCGCCGACCACATTTTATTTGGAAAGTCACGTCTGAGAGACGATCCACTATGTCATATAGGGCCTTCCCATGGAGAATACAACTTAGGAGACTTCCCTTTGGTCGTCCTGGGATTATACAACCACACCTTGTCTCCTGCTACAAAGCTGACTTCAGTAGACTTCTTATCATAACATAGCTTCATCGAATCAGCAGACGTTTTCAAGTTTGAATGCACTTGATGGTGAATATTATCCATCCTTTCCGATAACATCTTCACGAACTCGGACACATTTTCAGGCAACTCTTCGTAAGGTGGGCGTCCTGTTAACAGATCCACTGGCAACTGAAGTTCCCGACCAAACAACAACTTTGCTGGAGTGTATCCAGTGGCTTCATGCTCTGCTGTTCTATAGGCCATCAACAATGGAGGGAGTAAGACATCCCAGTCATCTTGGCAACTATTACAAAACGTTGCCAATGTACAGTTGTACTTTTCTACCACCCCATCAGACTGTGGGTGAGGTGGCATGGAACACAGGTGATTCGAAGTTATGGGCTTGATCTGAATGCAGTTCGTATGGCATACCAAATCTGAAGA